GTCATCGTAGAGGTCTAGTGAAGTCTTCATGCCAATCCAGCATAGTAATCGATTTTCAGCCAGCATCTGAGCTGTGTTTGTAGGACTCCATTTAGACCAGCGACTCGGGGTCTTCGTCATGAGAACATCCGTGCCAACGCTAGGCTTGACGATGCCAACTGCCAGCCTCGGCATCGGCCCGGTGACGGGGTTGTTGTGCAATCGTCGTCATCAGGTGAGGATCGAATCGGCATCTGGCCTCACGTAGCATACTCGCAGACGTAGCTCGGCGACAGTTCACAGCTGGGTGCAGGAAAGGACCGGGGTGGCCATTCCTGGAACCCTCCATTGCGAGCCTGTTGAGACAGCCGTTGCCATAGATGCAGTCTCAACGCTCCCTCTTCCCTACCCATATCTGCCTGACTTGCGTACTCGTCGCCGTTCTTAGCCTGGTGACACGGGGACAGGCGTCATACCACCCCTGCCCGCGTCTAGACGCGCATGCTCGTGCTGATGTTCCTTGCAGGGCGGTCTTCCGCAGCATCCCTGTCGCCGCGTCGCTCGTAACGGTCCGGCCTGCAGGGATTAGACGTACCTGGTGCGTCCGCCTCGGTGGTTATTGACGTTCACGAACTGTCACCTTTGGTGTCCGCCCATGCAGCATGCCAACCTTGCCTGCACCTGAGTCGCTGCTTCGAGGCATGCGAGCGGCCCCTTTAGCGTTTGCGCAGCAGCCGTCAATCCAGGATGTGCGGCAAACCATGAGTTGAAGTCGTCAGACCTGAGTCCAGCAGCAGCGGCACGTCGCTGTTGGAGTAGTCCAGGCGTGCCGCAATGTTGTTGGTGTGTCAAATGTGAGCGATCGCATGGCGCCGAGTATGATCAGAATGGCAGCAAGCAGGGAGGTGGTGGGCGTGCGCTCGCGCCTCGTCGCAATCGAGTGTCAATGCTATAAGAAAGGGATGTGCTGAAGCCAGCCCTTCGAGTCGGATAAGTGGCTAGCTCACAAGCACATTGGCCGCCTCACTGTTTTGACACCCCCGTACTGTACTGCTGAGCTCTCATACGCCGTTCTGCTGTCGTCTGACCCACCACGATGATGATCCCTAAGACGTTGTGTATCGTGGCGATCGCCGCAGGCTATGTGGTGGCGGTGCCTCAATTTGGACAGGTGAGCCCGTCGAGGCTGGACCTGAAGCTTCCGAGACATACTGACTCTTGACTGCTGGCACCAGGGGATGACCTCTCACGGAAAGGCTGTCGCCGCAGCAGTCTCGCCAGGGGAACCAGTCATCACGCCATCGCCGGTGGCACGAGCCGCCGGCGCCGACCTCGTTGCGCGCTCGCCCAAGCATGACGAGGACGAGCAGCCCGTCGTGTCTGACGAGGTGCTGACCACGTACCCCAACGGCTGGCTCCTGATCAAGCATCACACCCTTGAGAAGCGCGCAGTCGATGTCGAGGGGCCAACGCAGGCCCCGGCGCCGACGCAAGCGCCTGGCCCGACCCAGCAGCCGGGTCCCACGCAGCAACCTGGACCGGCAGCTCCAGCGGCCTGATTGCTGCCAGACCAATTGATTGTTGTAGCGATTGAGGTCGCCGCATCCGGACTGAGCGTCTCAGAGGCACTGGTGGTTTAGCAAGGGGCTGCGTCGGCCAATCTTCCGAATCATGTTGACAGCTGGCAGCGGGCTCCAACTCAGAGATCGTGGGGGCTGAATTTGCCCTCACTCATACACGCCTCCAACGTTCCCTGTAGTTGACTCTGCTGAGAGTTCTTGCACCGTTTGACGATCGCACAATTGCAGCAGTCAGTCTGGTAGACCTTAACCTCCCCGGCGTATCACACCTGGTGAGAAACGGGTCAGCTGTCAACTCAATGGCAACCCCCGGGCATATTTGAGCTTGCTGGCCTCATGCTGCCATCGCCATTAGTAGAGTAAAGCGCAGCTGCAATAACAGAATGTCTTACCAGTCAGCTGTGACTTCCTAGCAAGGCGTGCACAAGGTCACGCCTTGCAGTCACACATGCAACTACACGGCGACATTGTTCAATGCCGACGTCTTGCCGCGAGTCAAGACACCTGCACCCAGGTACGGAGCTCAGCAAGCATCTGGAGCTACCCCGGCTGCTTTGGGGCTCCGCAGGGTCCGCCAAGCGGCAGTCCGTTTCGGCCCGTGCCTTGCGTCCCGTTCTGCAACGCCTCCGTGGATGCTCCTGGCGGTGGATAACCTCCCGCCTTGCCGCACCTTGGCGTCGCCACGAGATCATGGCAGAGACCAGGGTGTGGGCCTGATGTCGCTCACCCCGCGTCGCTTGGTCTGCGATCTGCGACAGCGATACTGCGGGGGTGTGCGATTGCATCAACGGGCGTCGCAAAGCCCTTTACAGAGGGCCATGAGGCTCCTCCTCTGTGCGCTCGAAATGCAATTGGTGGGTCTTCGGTCACGATGAGCGCGGCTAATAGATCTTCGCAGGAGGCACACCGGACTTGTATCGTCCCGAGGCATGCGCGCAGGCATGGCAGGACGTGAAAGGGTGCAATTGGCAAGATCCCGGGCATGACCACCAAGGAGCTACTTATGGGACTTGAGGGACCCTTGCCGCTGTATAGCCGTCTCGTGGTGAGACGAACTCAGGCTGCACGTGGCTAGACGATCGGACCAGCATGGCTATTTCGACTGCGATCCTGACCGTACTGGCGGCGACCGCCGCGCCTGCGCGTGCCCTTCTGAATGGGGTCGCGGACAAACCGGCCATGGGCTGGAATTCATACAATCACTACAACTGCTATCCGAACGAAAGCACCTACCGATCCAACACCCAGGCATTGGTCGATCTGGGTCTGGCTGATCTCGGCTACGTCTACTCGACTATCGACTGCGGGTGGACGGTCAAGAACCGCACTGCGAGTGGGGAGCTCACGTGGGACGAGGACCTCTTCCCGTCGGGGTTTCCTGAGCTAGGAGAATGGGTGCATGGTTTGGGTCTCAAGTTCGGTGTTTACGAGGATTCAGGAGTCAAGTTGTGCGGGAGTCCCCCTGAGGGCATGGCTGGGAGCCTGTGTGAGTTGGCGGGTCTGCGCATACTAGGTCGCTGTCAATCCGGCATGTGTTCTCATGAAGTACTGTACTGGCAGACCATGAAAGCGTCGACGCAGCGACATTCGCACGATGGGGTGCCGATGCTCTGAAGTGTACGCTGGTCTTCGCGCGCTGTGACAAATGCTCACGGGAGCCTCATACTGACATTACGGGGACGCGCAGACGACAACTGCTACTCTGACGCTGCAACCGGCTTCCCGAATGTCAACTATGCTCCACGAACCTCTCCCGCGGTGCGATTCGCGAACATGTCGCAGTACATCACCACCCAGGATAGGCCGATCCTGTTCCAGATCTGTGAATGGGGCGTTGATTTCCCGGCGTTATGGGCTCCCTCAATCGGCCATTCGTTCCGCATCGGTCAAGACATCATCCCGCACTGGCGTGCGGTCGCACGCACGTTGAACCAGGCCGTGCCTGTGCTGCCATTCACTGGTCCCGGCCAGCACGCCGACCTGGACATGCTGGAGGTCGGCAACAGCATCTTCACAACTCCGGAGGAGCAGACGCATTTCTCCATGTGGGCGATCGCAAAGAGTCCCCTCACCATTGGCTGTGCATTGAGCGACGGACAAGGTCAGATCAGCAAGGAGTCACTCGCCATTCTCAAGAACAAGGATGTCATTAGCTACAATCAGGACGATCTGGGTCTCCCTGCACAATTCCGCCGCCGCTGGACTGAAGAGAGATACGAGGTCTGGAGCGAGCCTTTGTCCGGCGACCGCGTGGTCGCTGCGCTGATCAACTGGGCGGAGGAGAGGCGCAACCTGACGCTTGATCTGCCCGACATTGGCTTGCAGTATGCGAAGAGCCTGAAGGATGTCTGGAGACATACTGTCGCGAAAGATGTCCGAACATCTTATACGTCTGAGGTGGAACCACACGGCGTCATGTTACTTGAGCTGGGCGGCGCTCTGCTTAACGGAAGCTATCCCGCTGCGCATTTTGCTCAGAAAAAGGGGTAAGTAGCAACCGCAACCCCAATGACCCCCTCATCAGTGGCCCGCTACTGACCTGGCCCATTACAGGACCACCTCCACATTGCAACGCATCTACGCAAGGACGACGAGCAATCAGTATGGTTTGGAGATTGTCCTCTCCAAGCCGGCCCGCACGGGTGTCTCCATCACTGTTTCGACGGGAGTTGCTGGGGCACAACGTGTCGACGTACCTCACCAGGCAACAACAGTGCGCACTCAGGTTGCCCTCTCAGCTGGCAACGACAACAGCGTCATTATCAGTGGCCCGGTTTCAGTCGACCATATCAATGTGCTTGAGCCGCAAGGGCAGTACTACCCGCATACCGACTTCCAGCTCGCGGGCGACGCCCGCCGCGTGACGTGTGGGCCCGGTAGCTGCTCACCACTGGGCTCGAAAACGGGAAACATCGGCGTCAGCGGTACCGCCACTGCGACGAATGTGACAGCCGCGTCAGCAGGTGCCAAGTATGTTGCCATTGACCTAATCAACAACGACATCGCGCTGCAGACCGCGTGGGACTGGGGCACCAACACGCGCAACATCACCGTCGCCGTCAACGACCAGGAGCCTGTGCGTATCGAAAGCCCTCTTACGGGACGTCATAGCGAGCTCTACGGGGATAACCTCGGGTGGTGGGACAGCGCTAGGCACGGCGTCCTGCTGCAGGGGTTCAAGGAGGGTGCGAACAAGGTTGTTATTGGCAATGTCGGCGGAAATGCCGGCGAGACTGGTTGGGCCCCTGATTTTGTCGGTCTGTACCTCATGGACTGAGACGTCGGGTGTGCGACTCCTAGAGGGCCACTGAGGTAGCCGATACAGTTAAAAGTGCCTCAACCAACCATTGACAATTCTAGATGATTGACGTTGTTCAAGCGATTAGCGAGATCTATCTAGGTCAGTATCTAGGCAGGCAAGGAGATGGACGTGCAAAAAAGTAGTCGTGCCCGGGATCGAACCGGGAACCTTCTCGGAACTTTGGTGCTCACGTGATTGTGAACGAGAAATCATAACCATTAGACCACACGACTGTAATTGCTCATTCTCAGCCTATGTCAATTATACTGACCCAGAAATTGTGTCAGCGGTCTGCTGAGCATCTTCCAAGCCACAGTGACGGACTCGCGATTGAGCAGCGCCATGAATATGGCCTCGGGCGGGCAGTCTCAATCCAACGCAGCGTGCAAGCTGGGTCGCCACAGTCCCCTCATCGGTGAGCAGCGTGAGCCGCTCTTGCACGGTGCGTCCCGCCAAATCAGCTCGGCTGCAGGATGCAGGACGCAGACAGCAGGTACCAGGTCCCAGGCAAGAACAGGCTAGGCACCATGCAGCGGGCGCGGGCTTAGGAGGACGCCCTTGCCCGCCTCTCCATTGAGTATCCGTGCACACCAATGCAGGCGCACACGCACTGATATGCGTATACCAGGGCGGTGCAAGGGCCTTGAGCTGAGCGAGGTCGCCCTCGAGAGCGCTGCTCAAGTCTACACCGCAGCCCCAGCCAAGTGGTCGGCGGCCTGCGTGTGCGCGACACAGGAACGCTGGACATGAGCAAAGCTGGGCGACACCAATGGCGGCCTGTACAGTACATATCGTAGACTAGGGATCGCACACCGAGTATCCGCACCTCCCGATCGTCATTCGCACCAGCTAAGCGAGCAGCACCGGAATACACGAGCCTGGCGGCGGACGCCCGAACAGCGGGAGCGTCTGCGTCATGGCTGCCGTCGTCGTCTCTCGCTTGCAATCCGTCGGGTCGCCTCGTATCATGCGACAGGCACAGGGACAGGCACAGGCCACGAAGGGTTCAGACAGGCAGGACAGGGCAGGGCAGTGCGAACCAGCAGCGCACACCCGGGACCAGTGGGCGGGCGCAACGAACGCAGGTCAAGGGCACGAGCACGGACGCCGGAAGTGGCTCAGCAGCAACGACCCAAGATAGTCACAGGCGCAACAAAAGCATTGTTCCTACGCTGCTCTCACCGTTGTTGAAAGGAGGGGCTGCCCTGGCACCCGGCACAGACAGTAGCATCCCGGGCCACAGGCACAGGCACAGGCACAGGCACAGGCACAGGCACAGGCACAGGCACAGGCACAGGCACAGGCACCGGCTACAGGCACCGGGCAGGACGGCAGTGCACGGCAGCGGCCGCTATGCCTCCCTCATGTGGCAGCACATGGGACATGGCATATGGCCTGAGGGATCAAATGCTGAGCGGTGCCCCTTGTGTGGTGCCGCGCTGAAGCAGCAGCAGCAGCCGCATCACCATACGCATGATCACAGGCACGCGCAGCCCGGCAGCCCATGCCCGAGTGCCCGCCCGCTAGGGATGGCTGGCGTCACGCACTCCAGTCCGTGACACCGGGTTGGCACGGCTGCGACAGGGCAATGCTCTCGCACGCCTGTCGACTTCATGACCACCACGGGGGGCATTGTACATCGGCGTTGGCTGCCCCTCACCTCTCATAGCCGCCCGCCATTGCCACTCCTTCACAATCATTTGTGTCCGCCCTGTGGCACCATAGCATCCCAGCTACCAATAGCCAGAACAACGCAATCAGAGATGAGAGCATTCCTCAGTAGTCCGCTCCCTGCACAATCGCCCATGCCCCTCGATGCCCGCGGTCATACTGCTGCGTGGCACAGGCGGAGACAGCACGGCGAGTCAACGCAGCCCCGCCATACATTTACAGTAGATGCTGCCCGCTGCCCGCTGCCCACCGACACTGTCAAGGCGAGCGTCTTGCGACCTGAGACTGTGCGCCCACCGTGACGCCGACTCAGTGACTGAGACACGCGCGGGAGCCTCTGCGAAGCCTGGCGCCATGCACTGGACACGCCTCTTGCCATGGCTTCTGTGCCTGGCTCATGTTTCCAGCAGCCACGGTGCCGCTGACGCTGCCGCTGCCGCTGCTACCGCTGCCAATGCCGACGCCAGCGACTTACCGGCAACAAGAGAGCAATTGGACGAGCTGCGGGCCAAATGGGGTCAAGGGGTGAGTTGTCGATCTTGCAAGCCTGTGTCTGCGTGCTGCTGGTGCTGACACCACGTCCTCGCCGCCTCGCAGTGGTCCTTCACTGGCATCTCGACGTTTGCCCATCTGAAGCACCATGAGTGCCTGCTCGACCCCAGCATCAGCTACGACATCGCCGTCGTGGGCGCGCCCTTCGACACGGCGGTGTCCTACCGGCCCGGCGCCCGCTTCGGCCCGCGGGCCATCAGGGCCGCCAGCGCAAGGCAGATGGCGCCCAACACGTACAACACGCGCGCGGGGATCAACCCGTACATGAGCTGGGCGAAGATCGTCGACTGCGGCGACATCCCCGTGAGCCCGATGGACAACGGCGTGGCGGAGCGGCAGCTGGAGCAGGCGTTCCTGGAGCTGGGCAACCGCACGAGCGCGGGCACGCACCCGGGCATTGCGGGCGCGCTGGCGCGGCCGAAGCTGCTCACGCTCGGCGGCGACCACAGCATCACGCTGCCCGCGCTGCGCGCGCTGCACAAGATATACGGCAAGCCGTTGACGGTGATCCACTTCGACGCGCACCTCGACACGTGGAATCCCGTGCGCTACTCGGCGTACTGGACGAGCGAGCAGAGCCGCTGGAACCACGGCAGCTTCTTCCACACCGCCAGCACGGAGGGGCTCATCTCCAACACCTCGTCTGTGCATGCGGGGCTGCGCACCCGCCTGACGGGCCTGACAGACAGCGACTACACCAACCCGGGACCCGAGCAGGGGTTCTACCGCATCCACGCCGACGACATTGACGATGTCGGCGTCAAGGGCGTCGTGGAGGCGATCATCCGCCGCACGGGCGTCGACAAGGACCAGCCGGTGTACCTCTCGCTGGACATTGACGTGCTGGACCCGGGCATCGCTCCGGGGACCGGCACGCCGGAGCCGGGCGGCTGGACGACCCGAGAGCTGATCCGCATCCTGCGTGGCATCGAGGGGCTGAACGTTGTGGGCGCGGATATCGTCGAGGTCTCGCCGAGCTACGACGGCAACGGCGAGGCGACTGCTCTGGCCGCGGCCCAGGTGACCTTTGAGTTCGTGACGAGCATGGTGAAGCTGGGAGTGGAGGGCGTTGGCGGGTGGTACGGCGCGAAGCCGGATGACACGCGCGCAGCTCCCGAGAAGGACGAGCTGTGAGAATGGTAGGCCTCGAGTAGAGTCTTGGATATCCAGAAGGTCGATATGTACATAGTCACCGCTGAGCGTGTCATGGAATCATCTCTGCCAGCGTCATGCGCACTGTTTCTCCTGCAGGATCCCCTCGTCCCCAGCCAGCGGAATCCGGCCCGAGGCATAGCACGCGAGCATTCGGTCCATGCACTGCTCGTCCATTCGAACCAGGTCCTCGAAGGTCCATGCCTCGCAGATCTTGGTTATCCTGCAACTCAGTTGAGAGCACGTCTAGTCAGCATGCTGCCACCCCCCTTCACGCCTGTCAACGAGCGCTGCCATACCATCGCATCCGCTTCGGACCCTCCTCAGGCGCGGGCGCCACCTCGCGTAGCTTGCGCCGCAGCACGCCTACATTCCGGATGGCATCCCCCGTGTTCTCAGGCATGGCGGCCTGGATCCGGGCCTTGACCAGGTTCGCCATCTTGGGCCCGTTGCCATTGGTGCTGATCAGGACCTGCAGCGGCCCGTCGCGGTAGACGCTGCCGAAGTAGAAGTCGCAGTGCTCCGGCACATCAGCGACGTTGACGGGGATGCGCAGCGCCTTGCACCGCCGCCAGATCGCGTCCGACTGCGCGGGGTCGTCGAGCGCGGTGAACACCATGGCCACGTCGGTGCCGTCGGCCAGGTCCTCGGCCTCGAAGCGCCGCTGGACATGCCGCACTGGCTGGCCCGCCGCGATGTAGTGCTGGATTGCAGGTGCCACAGACGGCGCGATGACAGTCACCCTGGCGTCGGCATTGAGGGCGTGCAGGATGCGGCCCGTGGCGACCTGCCATGGCGTGGTCAGCTTGCTGCCTTGGTCTCAGGCGATCAAGAGGCTGCTCTCACCTGGCCTCCTCCCACAACCAGCACATGCTTGCCCTGCAGCTGCCACGCTCCCATACCATGGCCGCAGCAGCCTGCTCAGCTTGTTCACGGAGGTGAGTTTGGTCTCTCGGCACTCGGCGGTTTTCTAACTCGCTAACCCGACTGTGATAGTTCCGCGACGTGGGCTCTCTCCGCGAGCGCATCCACGCCTTCGAGCCCGACCTCGTCCTCGCCATCCACCAGACAAAGGACAGGTACCGCAAGGCCAAGGCGAGCGAGTACGCCAAGCTGCCGCTCGACGCCGCCTCGCTGGCGTCGCTGCTGCCGCCGCGCCCGCTCGTCGAGAAGATCGTCACCGCCTACTTCCTCTACGTATCGTCGGACTTGGCCCCCTGCGTCAACGCTGCCCTCATCCGCCAAGTCACGCAAGCCCAAGAAAACGAGTAAGCGGGCAAAGGCACTCGCACGGGCCGCCAAGCGGCGCAAGACAGCGGAGGCGGAAGAAGCCCGAGCAGCTGAAGCGCAGCCTTCCTCCGACACACAGGCGTCGACGCATGACGTTGGAGCATCTCCCTCGACGACAACCACACAGGCATTGAATCAGGACCAGGGTTTCACGTGGGAATGTCTTGCTAT